TTGCCCACAGTATTGAGTATGTAAGTCGCTTTGGATAAAAGCGTCTAACAAGTAATGTAATGTAATACTTCCTCCATTTCTTAATTATTATAATACATTTGATCTCATTATTTCTTGGTTTCCCTCCTCTCTTGTAATCAAAAACACAGATATAGCTTCCACTTTTTTCCCGTTTTTTTGTAATAATACTCCATTTATTTGACCAAGGTTATGTTAGTCTAACACTTTTCTTCTTGCCTTTAACTTGAACAGTTGTCCTTCACTGTAACAATGTGAATTCCCCTCCCGTGGGACAGATGAAGGGTTTCTAACAGAGCTGACGGTGTATATCAATCTGAACTGAATCCTCCAGTAAGTGATTCCTCAGTCTGTGTGACACATAATGAGGGGAGGGGGGTTAAAAAGGAAAATGGAGGATAAAGAGTGAAGAGAAAGGGGTCGGAGAGCCCGAGGCAGAGTGACCAGACGTATTGTCTGCCGTCCTGCTGAGAGGAGGACAGAGAGAGACTGAGAGAGACTGAGAGAGACTGAGGAACATGATGGAGGGAAAGAGGCCAAAAACAAGAAGGAGCTGCAGGCACGGACACACAATCAAGGTTATAGGAAATGTGATGCAAAGGGGGGTTCTGTTCGGAAGGAAAATATGTCTGATATGTGTGTATGTATATGTATATATATATATATGTGTGTGTTTAAGTAGGACATAACATACACACTGTTTTCACACATACATGTAAATATATCTAATATGATATTGACTGTTGTGCTTTTATGTATGTCTTAATGTGTGCATATGTAAAATGTGTCTGTTGTGTATATATAGGTATACATATTTTATACACATTTTTATATATATTTGTATTTTTGTATTTTGTATTCGGTATTTCGATCTCTGTCTGTACACGATACAAGATTGACAATAAAGTTGACTTTGACTATGTATATATGACCCAATATGTTATGTTAGGAAGAAAAATATGTATGTATATGTGTGTATGTATATATGTATGTATGTGTATATGTGTGTGTGTGTTTAAGTAGGACATCAAATACACACTGTTTTCACACATACATTTAAATATATCTAATATGTATATATGACCAAATATGTATATGGTCATTTTAATTCATTTCTTATTTTATCGTTATTGTATCTTTAATTGTATTAATCTGTCTTATCTTATCTTACATGTGTGTAGATATTTGTAATTTCAAAACAACCCCTATGTACTTTTTTGTTTTTATTTCATTTGACTAATTCTGTTTTGTATTTCATTTGCCATTTCCGTGTCACTAAAAAGATATGATTTGCAAAACTGTACTTTTAATATAACGTGACTCTTTTCAAAAGCAAAAGAAAGAAAGGAAAATATTTACTGTCAATTTGTGTTTTCAATTTCCTCGACAACAGACAATGCAACTCATGAAAACTGCATTAAAGGTGAAGAGGGAAAACAAAGGGAAGTCATATTAGTATTAATGGAGAGGAAACAGAAAAACAGGTCAAAGAAACAAGCGGAAATGAAGAAAGGAAAGGAAGCGAGAGAGAGGACTGGAAACGGAAAACCAGAAAGACGAGAAGAGGTGGGATGGATGGAGGTAAAGAGGTCAAATTAATCAGGGAAAGGGTCAATAAGACGACAAATGTTGGTTCCAAATGATGCGCCAATAAGTCCAATGGAAGTAGAACAAACTCAGTCTGGAGTAACGAAAACATGGCCAACAAAAACAGTAATTTGCTAGTCAAATGGAATTGATTCAAACTGCATCCACCCCTTAAGCACTGAGGCACCTTGACACACACTCATTAATGTCGTGAACAAATGTATGTCAGTAAAAAAAGTGGTGCTAATAGGTTGAGTAAATGTTACAATATTTCGGTTAGGGGCAAAAATAAACGTGCCCGACAAGACCAACTTGCAGGCTGGTACAAATCTAAGCTACTTCTATATTATTTCTGGATATAAAGTTCAAGTGTAAGTGTTACAACTAATGCTACTTAATTTTAAAAATAAACATTTGGTACCAGAAAATCAAGGACACATAGGAAGAGGGGGGTTTAAAAAAATAAAATGGAGTCTGTGTGTGTGGTCAGGACTGCATTCACACATTGATTATTGAAGAACACCTTGACACACACTCACAAAGATGCATATATAGATACAGGAAACAAGGCTACACACACACACACACACACTCACTCGGACACAGAGTCCGAACGCCCGCTTCGCCTCGATGCAACCAGAAGACAATCAATATCGAGGGCAGAGCCACGGTACTGTTCTCCATAATGACTATCAAACACACACACACACACACACTGGTACACACACACACACACACACTCTCTCGGATCGATGGCTGTCCGCTGTGTCCACGGTTACCGAGCATCGACCCCTGTCGCTAATGGCGACCACGGTACCTTGGGAATTAGTGTGTGATTGATTGACAGACTGCTTCAAAGACATCATATAGACCCTGAGAGTGTGTCTGTGTGTGT